TTTCTGCTATAAAAAATGTAAAGTAAACTCAAAGTTAGTCATAAATTTAGGCCAAAATGTATTCTGCTACATGTCTTTGGTAAAAAAAAAATCTCAATAAGTGTATATTGATTGTTTTGTGTGAAAGTTATAGCGTCTACAAACTATGGTAATAAAATGTACACAGCTTTTACTTTCTGACTGCCCATCACATTTCTTGAGGTGCTAAAATCCCAAGACAGTACAAAACCCCCAAATGACCACTTTTTTTTGGAAAGTAGACACCCTAAACTCTCTGCTGAGAGGCATTTTGAGTCCATGGAAGATATTTTTTCCACAATTTTTTGGAAAATGACATTTTTTTTTTACACAAAGTTGTCATTTTAAATGATATATTTCTCACACAGTCCATGGGTTATGCGGAATTAAACTCCAAAATACATTCTGCTACTTCTACCGAGTAGCCACATATCAGGAGCCTGAAATCCAATGACCACATTGAAAAACTGAAGGTGTGTAACTTCCTTATGTCACTTCCTCATTGCCTAGTCAGTTTTGGAGGCCCTGAAATGCCAGGATAGCACCAAACCCTTCCAAATGTTTCTTTTCTGGAAAGTAGACACCCCAAGGTATTTAAAAAGAGGCATGGTAAGTAACTTGCAGATCTCATTTTTTCTCACAGGGTTTTGAAATATATACAAAAATATGTTTTTGCTTTCTTTCTTCATTATCCAAAAACGTGTGTAGCAACAAACAAAATCTGCAAAATACTCACCATGCTTCTTTTCAAATTCCTTGGCCAAAAAAGTATCTCACATGTGGTACCCCCCATACTCGGGAGAAGTAGCAGAATGTATAAAGGGGGGTAATGTCACATACACCCAATGTATAAGTGAACATAAATCGTTTAAGTGAAAATGTTGCGGAGCTGTTTATATGCTGTAAAACTGAAGTGATGAAAATGCTCATAGCTTCCGATTTCTTAGACTATAGAGATGATTTTCACCATTCTGGTCTCCAATCAGCTCTATGGTCAGCTGGCAGAAACATCGGCTGCATTCTCAGGTTCTCCGATGGCAGGAGACTGTCTGAGAAGGCCGTGGAAGGCAGTGGGGGAGGGGCATCTACTCCCACTGCTTGTAAAAGCAATACTGCAGCTAATTTACCACTAGGATTGCTTTTACATGAAAAAAAAAAAAAAAATACCAGGATGATGCCTGCAGCTGCAGGCATCATCCTGGTATAACCACTCAAAGTCCAGTGATGTACCAGAACATTACTGGTCCAAGATTGTACAAATGTCTAAATAGTGGCACGCTTGAATAACAATTGTCCATATATAAGTGGTACCCCATATGGAAAAAAGATGACACCAAGTCCTAGACTATCTTTTCACTGCTCCCATGTTGTTTGGGCATCCGGGGGGCTCCATGTGACATCTTTTCCCTCATAAATCCAAAACTTCTATGTATAGCTTGTTGCCTCTCACAGTTCTTATACTTCTTGGCCCCATATCTGGCATGCTTGCTGGGGAGAAATTGTTTGAATTCAAGGCTGCCAGAAACTTTTTTGAGGGATCATCAACGCAGATGTTTTGCTGGGGAGTATAGACATCTGCAAATTTTTGGTTACGGTGATTTATGAGGTATTTCTATTACAGGGTGGCGTAGAAGCGGTTTCAACATGTCCAGTAAAAAAATTAAAAATCTAATTTTATCATAAATTTAGACCAAAAGGTATTCTGCGATATGTCTTTGCTAAAAAAAAATTGCAATACGTGTAAATTATTGGTTTATATGAAATTTATAGCATTTACAAATGGTGGCATAGATATTGGAATTTTTTCATTTTTGTATTTTTACTAAAAATGGTGGCGATCAGCGACGTAGAACGATACTGTGGCAGACATTCTGAAACTGTGGAGAAACTGACTTGGTGTCACTGACAACCCCAGTGACACCAATTACAGTGATCAGTACAATAAAAAAAAAAACACTGACACTGTTTTTTTTGACACTGGGCAGGAAGGTGTTGACATTTGGCGGCAATCAAAGGGTTAACTGTGAGCTGGGTGATTTTTGTTTTTTTTTTTCTAAGGGGGGGGGGATGTGCTTCATTGTAAAGTGCACTGCTCTGAAGGGCTCTGCTCAGTGTGCCCAAACTGACAGGGAGGAGGGCTGTTGGTATACAAAGCAGCCCTCCTCCCAATCTGTGATCCTCGGCAATCACCCGCGGGGACCCTGTGATTGACACCCAGGGCCGCGATTGGCGGCGTGGGTATGGCTCACGAATGCCACCTACCCGGATATGCAGAATCATTTAGATAAACTGCTACATGGCGGTGGGCATTAAAAGACTTGTCAAAAACTGTTGTTTTGTTTTTTGTTCAATTAAAGGCATTTTTAAAAAGTCCGGTGTCTGGCTTAACATACACTACTTTCTCATCTCGCAAGGGGAGGGAGCAGCATCGGGGTGCCCCCTCTTTTAAAGGGATACCCTGTTGCTAATGAGCCTGCCTTTCCGCAAACCCCCACAACCAACGGGCCAGGGTTGTGTGTGGAAGAGGCCCTTGTCCCCCCAAAGCCTAGGGCACGTGGCCTGGTAAGGCACAGGAGGGAGGTTTCTCGATCGCCACCCCTCCCCCTTTCCTTCCCTCCCTGTGCTTGGATAAAGGGTACAGAAGTTAGATAGGAGGGACCCCACACGTCCCCCCCCCCATTTGTTATTTTTACTTTTAGAGATAGTATTCTCCCCTCTGTCTTTGGCTGTGTCAAGCAACACACTGCAGAAGGCATAAATGTGATACAGAGGAGCTGTGATGCAGATGAGAACTGACATATTCAGAAGGCGGGAGTCTCCCCAGGATTCTGGTGACAACCCAAAAACTGGGCAAATTATTTCACTTTCACTCTATCTGATAACAGTAAACAGGGAAAAAAGAAAAGGTGAATCTATCTAATGGGGCACAGGGAGCAGGAAAAAAACTTTTACCCTTCCTCCTCTTTATCCAAAACTGATTTTTTTTTTTTTTACAGTAGTTTACAGATTGTTCCTATTATTCTATACATTTCTTACAAAGGCAGAGTGTGCAAGGGGGGGGGGGGGGGGGGGGGGGGAGGGGGTGGTCTTGGTGTCTGTGAGCTTATGAAAATGCAATACTATCTGAGGTACATCTAAAAACATCTGGGGAGGGGAGGGGATATGCCAAAGCAATTTCCAGGTACAGCTTTTGATGTATTCTTTATTTTCTCCAATCAGTTTATTCCTCGCAGTTATTATCTTTTGTCCCACCAGCCCCTCTGTACTAGATTGTAAGCTCCCTGGAGCAGAGCCTCCTAACCCTCTTGTATTGAATTGTATTGTTGCTGTATTGTCTCCATTTATACTTTTTTACAGCACTGCACAAAGTGTTGGCACTATATAAATCCGGAATAATAATAATCATCATCATCAGATAATATTAATAATATTATTCCCTTTTTCTTGTTCTGAGCAAAAGAGGGACACCCCGATCCACCACATGGCAGATATTAGGATTTCCAGCAAAGGTCTCATTACTGAAATGATCTCTGGGGGAATCGAATGTTGATGGATTGCAACAATGTATCAAGCAGAGCAGAAAAGAAACATCGTTTAAGTAACAATATCCTCCCGTCTATGTGTGTAATATAGTGACACCCAATGGGAGTGTTGAGCATTGCAGCCAATCATCCCATCCCCCCAATTTGCAGGTTAGTCCGTCCCGGATAGAGAGGAGCGGTGCTTTGTGGATAGAGAGGAGCGGTGCTCTTGGGGGGGGGTGAGCGTTGCATGACAGCTGACATATTCATCAAAGGGGTGAAGTCTCCCAGGTGATGTGTGTGGGGGGTGGGGGGGGGGGGGGGGGGGGGGGGGGGGGGGGGTCTCCCTGTCACTTCTAGGGCACTCGTTGTTGTTTTCAGGTCCATCGTTTGGTGTATTCCCTTCTTGTCGGTGCAATTCTTTCTCCTTGGACTGAGGAGAAGGGAACACCCTGGAGGCTTTTACATGTTAGTACAAAGAAAAGAAGTGTCAGGGTCAGTAGACATGTGTTGGTCTTAGAGGGAACCCACCGCTCATTCCCCTCCAAATAGCCGACATTTCCTCTCCACATTCCCCACATGATAGACAAGAATGGGATTTGCAGCAAACTTCCTATTCCTGAAATGATCTCTCAGGGAATCCAAATGTGATGGATTGACTTCCATCACTGAAAGCCTCAAATCCTATTGTAGATCCGAGGATTCCGAGCAAACCTCCCCCTGAGCAGTCTATGGAGCTGTGGAGGGAAATGCGGCAATCAAGTCATTGGCAGGATTTGGCTGTCAATGTCCATTTGTGATGATGATCCAATAATGACACCTAGGCCATGACACCTGACACCCTGTAATGGGCGGAGCCCTTTGTATCTGTCCCAAAGTCTGCCATGACATGACACAAGGATCTCCTGTGATCGGCCGATGTTTTTGTTCCCGGCTCCTTGTAGTCAGCTAGAGATGAGCCGAGTTGTGTATTAGAGGGAAATGTTTGGTGATCTCCCCTCTTCCCTCGTGTAATGTGAAGCGGATTGTAGTGGGGGATGGGAGCAGATTGTTTTGTGGGTAGAATGTGTCCCCCCAAGCAGGTAGAAGGCAGAATGGGCCCCCCCACTCCGGAGGATGGTTGTGTTTGCAGCCTCTGTGTTCAGCCTCGTGAGCAGCTCCTGACAGCTGGAAGTGACCCCCGATAAGTGACAGTCCAGGGAGCAGATCGGCTCCCCGGTGCACATCGGACATCGTTCTATTTCGGAATACAATCGGTTTTTTATCTACCGGGAAACACATGAAGGGAGAGAATATACTCCAACACTGGAATGACAGCCAGTGGGCGTGTTGTCTGCTGTGTAACCAATAGCAGGACAGAGTCGAATTGCGTGTCAACCAATCGCAGTGTTAGAAGGTCTGTATATAAGGCGGAGCGCCGTGTGATTTGTAATGAACTATTGTGGAAACATTTCCCGAGTCATGACGGAGACTGAGAGCGCCCCAGCCGCCGCTCCTCCAGCGGAGGCCGCCGCCAAGAAGAAGCCGGCTAAGAAGGCGTCAGCCGGAGGAGGAGCCAAGAAAGGCATCAAGAAGGCGTCCGGTCCCGGCGTGTCCGAGCTCCTGGTCCAAGCCGTGTCCGCTTCCAAGGAGCGCAGCGGGGTGTCCCTGGCCGCCCTCAAGAAGGTCCTGTCCGCCGGAGGATACGATGTGGACAAGAACAAGAGCCGCCTGAAGATCGCCCTCAAGGCGCTGGTGACTAAGGGGAGCCTCGTCCAGGTCAAAGGTCATGGGGCCTCCGGATCGTTCAAGATCAAACAAGAAGCAGCCCGACGGCGCCAAGGACAAGGCGAAGGCCAAGAAACCGGCCGCCGCCAAGAAAAGCAACAACAAGAAGCCATCGGCGGCGGCCAAGCCCAAGAAACCGGCCGCCAAGTCCCCCAAGAAGAAGGCGGCCAGCAAAGCCTCCACCGCAGCCAAGAGCCCCAAGAAGAAGCCGGCCGCCAAGAGACCAGCAAAGGCTGCAGCCAAGAAGGTGACCAAGAGCCCCAAGAAGAGCAAAGCTGCAGCCAAGCCGAAAAAAGGCGCCAAGAGTCCCGCTAAGGCCAAGCCGGCAGCTAAGAAGGCGGCTAAGCCCAAGAAGGCCGCTCCGAAGAAGAAATAATGGGCGGCGACCTCCTTCATCTCCACCCCCCAAAGGCTCTTCTCAGAGCCCCCCACCTCCCCCCAACAGAGCTCTCCATACACACACCGACCACGAGCCGCATTCTCCCTCCTCCAGTCTCCATCCCTCACATTGTACACTTGTCCCTTATAGGTCATCCAATGATTCCTCCGATCCTACAAATGATTACTGGTTGGCCAAAGGAGAGATCCCTCCCGATACATGTCACAGGCCCGAATTACTGAATTATATTTTCTATAGAAAACCGGCCGGGGCGGCACACGGAGAGCAGAAGGAAGAATCCTCCCGGTGTGTCCGTGTGTGCCGCCCCGGCAGAGCGATGTGATCTGTGATGAGCCCGATGTAGTATCGGAGGAGGTAATAGAGGACATGACTGACCCCCCAATAGTGACATCTCCGTGTGGAAGGGGCCCCATTCGGATGGATCTCATTGTATGTCTCACATTCCAGGACTAGTTATGAGCGTATTAATAATGAATAAAACCAGTAAAGGGAATGGCGGTCCCGGGGGGGGCTGAGAGGAGGAAGTGCCGAGATTTCCCTGACAACAGAAGCCTGTTCCCGGGTGTTGTAGTCATTGTAGTTCGGTAGTGTAGAGCTCTGTGTGGGGGGAGGTTGTGGCTCTGAGAAGAGCCGTTGGTTGGCGGGTTGTGTGTGTGGAATGTCTGTTGCGGGGGGTCTAGGCCCTCTCTCCGCGGATGCGGCGTGCCAGCTGGATGTCTTTGGGCATGATGGTGACCCTCTTGGCGTGGATGGCGCAGAGGTTGGTGTCCTCGAAGAGTCCGACGAGATAAGCCTCTGCGGCCTCCTGCAGAGCCATGACGGCGGAGCTCTGGAAGCGCAGGTCGGTCTTGAAGTCCTGGCGATCTCTCGGACGAGGCGCTGGAAGGGCAGCTTGCGGATGAGCAGCTCGGTGGATTTCTGGTAGCGGCGGATCTCTCGGAGAGCCACGGTGCCGGGCCTGTAGCGGTGAGGCTTCTTCACTCCGCCGGTGGCCGGGGCGCTCTTGCGGGCGGCTTTTGTGGCCAGCTGCTTGCGGGGAGCTTTCCCTCCGGTGGACTTACGGGCGGTCTGCTTGGTACGAGCCATCTCTACTCCTCTCTTGCCGGGAACTGCGGATGTAATGCGCCTCCGCTCTGCAGAGAAATTTATACACATCCCTGCCCTCTGATTGGAGAACTACGCCACGCCCCTTCTAATGATTGGGTTACTTAAAAAGAGCGGGATTTTCAAAATGCCCGCCAGGATCTGCGCGTTATCTGTGTAGGTAGAGAAGCCCGCTGTGTCAGGGGTGGGGGAGGGGGAGGTCCTCCACATCATACAATGCTCGGAGCTCTCCTTACTACCAAAGAAGAGAAGATTAATCAGAGATCTGCTAATAATCAGAGATCAGAGACTCCCTGTACAATGTAACAATTACATCCATTGACATCGGACTGGATTCCTCCATAATACAGTGAATGGGATGACAGAAGATCCTCCTCCGATCTCACGGATCCGATGATTCCTCTGTTCGGGACTAAGAAGCAGAACGTTTGTCGCCCATCTCGGTCCATCCAGCACAATTGTGGACTAACAGGGACAGTCAGAAGGGCTGCAATGTATTGTCTATAGAAGAGCGAGATGACAAGAGACATGACTTGTGTGCGGATCTGGGAGGAGATACAATGTGATTTCTGCTTTTCTCTCCGAATCCCACTTCCAAGGACAATCCGATCCCGGCGATGACAGTGTGGACTTTGATGGCACAATGACAATCTATCGCTGAGGATGTGAGGAGGCGGACATCTAGTCTGCAGCAATTCATCCCATTCATTTTACATTTACGAGTTTATTTGTAACAAACATTATTTTATTTATGTGTCTTATATTTTCATCTGATCGGAATATTTTTTGTAAATTCCCGCCAAGATCTGCAGGTTATCTCTGTTAGTAGAATATCCCGATCTCTCTGGGAGCTCCTTACTGCCAGATGAGAAAAACATTCATAAGAAAGATGTTTATAATTATATATGCAAACTTTTTTTATCAATGTAAGAATTGCAATCTCCGAGAATGGACTATTTCTGTCCATAATTCAGTAAATCAGATGACATAAAGTAATCATAAATGCTCTAATGAAAAAGAGAGAGGAAAAAAAAAGATAGATACATACATTTACACTATATTGACAAAAGTATTGGGTCTCCTGTCTTTACACACACATGACCTTTAATGGCCCCCCAGTCTTAGTCCGTAGGGTTCAATATTGAGTTGGCTCCGCCCTTTGCAGCTATAACAGCTTCACCTCTTCTGGGAAGGCCGTCCACAAGGTTTAGGAGGGTGTCTATGGGAAGGTTGGACCATTCTTCCAGAAGCACATTTGTCAGGTCAGGCACTGATGTTGGGGGAGGAGGCCTGGCTCACAGTCTCCACTCTAATTCATCCCAAATTGGTTCTATCGGGTTGAGGTCAGGACTTGTGCAGGCCAGTCAAGTTCCTCCACCCCAAACTGGCTCCTCCATGTTTTTATGGACCCTGATTTGTGCACTGTTGTGCATTCATGTTAGAACAGGAAGGCGCCACCCCCAAACTCTTCCCACAAAGTTGTTAGCATTAAATTGTCCAAAATGTCTTGGTATGCTGACGCCTTAAAAGTTCCCTTCACTGGAACTAGGGGGCCAAGCCCAACCCCTGAAAAACAACCCCACACCATAATCCTCCCTCCACCAAACTTTACACTTGGCACAATGCAATCAGGCAGGTACTGTTCTCCTGGCAACTTCCAATCCCAGAGATGTCTATCAGATTACCACACAGAGAAGCATGATTGGTCACTCCAGAGAACGCGTCTCAACAGCTCTAGAGTCCAGTGGCGGCGTGCTTTACACCACTGCATCTGATGCTTTGTATTGCACTTGGTGATGGAAGGCTTGGATGCAGCTTCTCAGCCAAGAAAACCCATTCCATAAAGCTCTCTACGCACTGTTGTGTTAATCTGAAGGCCACACCAAGTTTGGAGGCCTTTAGCTATTGACTCTGCAGACAGTTGGTGACTTCTGCACACTGTACACTTCAGCATGCGCTGACCCCGCCCTGTCATGTGACATGGCCTACCACTTGGTGGCTGAGTTGCTGTTGTTCCCAGTCGCTTCCACTTTGTTATAATCCCACTAACAGTTGAGCGTGGAATATTTAGTAGCCAGGAAATGTCACGGATGGACTTATTGCCCAGGTGGCCATCTATCACATTACCACGCTTGGAGTCACTGAGCTCCTTAGAGTGACCCATTCTTTCACAAATCTCTTAGATTGTAAGCTCCAAGGAGCAGGGCCCTGCTAACCCTAATGTATTGATCTCTATCATTGCTGTATTGTCTCCCTTTATATTGTAAAGTGCTAAGGAAACTGTCTGCACTATATAAATCCTGTATAATAATAATTCACAAATGTTTGTAGAAGCAATATGCATGCCTAGATGTTTGATTTTATACACACCTGTGGCCATGGAGGTGATTGAATCAAATGATTTGGAGGGGTGTTCCAATGCTTTCGGCAATATAGTGTGTGCGTGTAAAATTATATACACTGCTCAAACAAGGAAAACTTTTCTTTTAATCAGAGCATAGCCTTAAGTCATTTAAACTCCTTGGATATTGATCGGGTCAGTTAAGTAGCTGAGGGGTTGTTAATCAGTTTCAGCTGCTTTTGTAAAAATGAAATTAACAACAGGGGCACTAGATGGGCAACAATGAGACAACCCCCAAAACAGAAATGGTTTTAGAGGAGGCTGCTGACATCTTTTCTGACTGTTTGTCACTAGTTTTTCATTTGGCTAGGGTCAGTGTCACTACTGACATGAGGACATGGCATGAAGAGATACCTAGACCCTACAGAGGTTGCAGTCAGTCCAACTCCTCCAGGATGGCAGATCAATACGTGCCAATGAAGAAAAGCCTGCATTTTTGTTCACAAATGCTCCATCAGCAATAGGACTCAAGAAACCTCCTACAAACTGTTAACAAGATGGTATTCTAAACCGGATGGGTTAAAGAGGGGGTTCCCCCAGACGTCAGGCCTATGTTGTTGCTGTGAATCAGCCGAGGACTCCCTGTTAGATATTTGGTGGCAATGCCCAAGGCTTATGCCATTGTGGGACAACGTTCTCGGTTGACATACTCTATTACTGAGACTGCATTATCCCCCCAGATGTTGTCTCCTTCATATCTCTGAGTGTTCTTTGAAGTCGTATATAAAAAATCTTTGGTATGGCACCTTTTCAATGCGGCCAAGTCCCTAATCCCCAGGCATTGGAAGACCTCTCAGGCCCTTCGATTCAAGACTGGAAAAGAGAGGTTAACGTCATTCAAGAGTTGGAAAGGACATTGACTATGACCGATGACGTGGTTGCCAGATTCCACAAACTATGGTCCAATTGGTATGCTTTCACTTTCTCAGAAACATATGGAGGGCTGATGGGCTATTAACACTTTTCTACTTTTCGATGTGCGTATTATGCTGGTGGATACTTGACTACACTTGTGGAATTAGATCTGTTCTTATGACTGCTGTTTTCTTTCTTTCTCTACCAAATCTCCTCCCTCTATTCATGCACGTTATTATGTCAGATTTGATGTTTGTACTTGCAATTTATAAACGTTTTAATCTGTGTATGTCTCATGTAGAACATTGATCTGATTGTACTATCGAGTATTTTCAGAAGACATTTGTTACTCTGTACTACATGACTTCATAACAAGCAAAGCTTGTTTTGTAGTTTATTGATGTTTATATGTTCTGTTTTCTATGAATAAAAATGTGTTAAAAAAATACTTCACCCATAATCCCCATCTAGAAAAAAAATATATATTCTCCTATTCTTATCAGAAAGGGGTCAAATGTGTTCCTGGGCAGGTATAGCCATAATATTCCACCCAGTTTGTGTCTACATGGAGACTTTAGGTGTGTGGTGGATACACATGGCAAGAACCATATTTCACCCTTTTCTGAAAAGATTATGGGCATAACTATCTTTCCACATGGAGATTATGGGTGGATGGTTGCAGATACACGTCAACATCCATATTTTAAATGTTTTTCCTTAGAATATGGGTATAGTTATTTTTCTAGATGGGTATTATGGGTGGAATCACACAACATCTGGCTATAGACGTCTCACCCTCTTACCCATGAGCCTGTTTTTTTAAATTCTATGATGTGAGTTACTACTTATCTTTCTATTAAATACCTTCACAGTACACACTTAGAGGCGCTGTGTTTCTTTGTTTCCCTTCTGCAGAGTTATGCTTCTCTCCTACACAGCTTGCCCTTAGTGCTTACTGGACTACCCTTACCCCTGCCCATTTGGAACTCATACATACATGGACTGCCACACCATGCGCTGTTATCCCTTTTGCAAATGTGTTCTGGCATGTTCACAATGATATATTCCACCCATAATCCTCAAAAAGAAAATTAATTACGCTCATAATCTTTTCAGAAATAGGTCAAATATGGTTCTTTACATGTGTATCCACCATAATATACCCGTAATCCCCATGTAGAAAAATAACTATTCTCTTATTTTTGATCAGAAAGAGGTCAAATATGATGGGTCCCTAGGCATGTTAAAAAAAAAAAACAATATTCCACCCATAATCCCCATTTTGAAAAAAAAAAAAAAAAAAAAAGCTATTCTCATCAGAACAGGGTCAAACCGCAGCTATCGCCTCCTGTGCCACCATCCCCTTCCTCCTAGATTGTAAGCTCGAAAGAGCAGGGCCCTCAATCCCCTCATGTTTTGCATTGTATTGTTATTGTTCTGTCCCCCTTTGTAATGTACAGAGCTGAGCGAACTATTGGCGCTTTATAAATACTGTATAATAATACTAAATGTGTTCCTAGGCATGTTTAACCATGATATTCCACCCATAATTCCCATATAGAAAAATAACTACCCATATTCTTTAAAGAAACAATTCAAATATGGTCCATGACGTGTGTATCTGCAATTATCCACCCATAATCCCCATGTTGAAAAATATCTATTCATAGTCTTTTCAGAAATAGATGGAATATGATCCTTGGCCTGTGTATCCACAAAAATGCACCCATAATTCTCATGTAGAAAAATTATATGCATTTGTTTTATCAAAAATATGTTAAGCGTTACCATGATATTCCCCCCATATTCCCAGATAAAAAAAAAAATCAATGTTACCCATATATTTATTTAAAAAGGTGAAATGTAATGTGTATGGGATGTGTAACCATTATATTCCTCCCATAATCCCCAAGCAGATCCATCATAACCATTGTGATCAGAAATGCATAAACTTTTTTGCTTGGAATTTACAAATTTTCAATCTTAATTTTTTAAAGTTTAATACAACAGTTGAAAGGGCAGTGCTTTCCACATCTCGTACTATATAAAATCAGTCCCTAGTAATATATGGAGTAATGTTTCCATTCTTTCTGTATAATTTCCTATGATGCCATGTTACAGCCGCACATATATCAGTCAGTGAAGAGCAGGGGCGGACTGAAAACTCATGGGGCCCCGGGCAATTATGGGGCCCCTGGGTCCTTGCCCAAACTCAAAGCCTATGAAAAAGGTACCAGGAGCATCTCATGAGGCCCCCTAGTGACCCCGGGCAGTGCCCTAGTTTCCAAATGGTCAGTCCGCCCCTGGTGAAGAGTTAAACATTCGCCTCTACTACGTGTAACAATGTATCAAGCAGAGCAGAAAAGAGAAACAAGAAAATCCTTCCCGTCTATGTGTGTAATATAGTGACACCTAATGGGAGTGTTGAGCATTGCAGCCAATCCTCCCATCCCCCCAATGTGCAGGTTAGTCCGTCCCTAGAACGAATGTCCAGTGTAAGTGTGACGTGTGGGGGACCTCTAGCGGCAATACAATGTGATGACAGCTCAGTGATTGGAATGGTGGGCGGCTCTTAGAAGAGCCTTTGTGTCCTTGTTGGGATGATGGGGCCCCGGCGGGGGGATTACTTGGCGCTGGTGTACTTGGTGACGGCCTTGGTGCCCTCGGAGACGGCGTGCTTGGCCAGCTCTCCGGGCAGGAGGAGGCGGACGGCGGTCTGGATCTCCCGGGAGGTGATGGTGGAGCGCTTGTTGTAATGAGCCAGGCGGGAAGCTTCGCCGGCGATGCGCTCGAAGATGTCATTGACGAAGGAGTTCATGATGCTCATGGCCTTGGACGAGATGCCGGTGTCGGGGTGGACCTGCTTGAGCACCTTGTACACGTAGATGGCATAACTCTCCTTCCTAGTCTTCCTCCGCTTCTTGCCGTCCTTCTTCTGGGTCTTGGTCACGGCTTTCTTGGAGCCCTTCTTGCCGCCGGCGCAGACTTGGCTGGTTCAGGCATGATCAGGGTTCACCACTGCTTGGCTGGCTGCAGGGAAAGTGTGCTGGAGCCGCCCTCATGTGCTGCTTTTATAGGCGGCCTATGCAAAGGAGTCTCAGCCCTTCTCACTCTTCTATTGGTGGACTCGGTCATGTGATAGAGTGACGTCATTCTTTTTTTCCCTCCTGTACAGATTGGAAGGGAAACAAGTCTGACCACTATTGGCTGAATTGAAAACCAACCAATCCTAGTGTGTGACGTCAGAGCACGGAGTGTATAAAGGAGAGGAAGCGGCTGCTGGGGTCTGCAGTTCCCCGTGGTCGTGTTCGACACCGTCTGCTCCCTGGAAGGGCAAAACACTATGCCGAGCGGGTCGGGGCCGGAGCTCCCGTCTATCTGGCCGCCGTCCTGGAGTATCTGTCGGCTGAGATCCTGGAGTGCTGGCCGGCAACGCCGCCCGAGACAACAAGAAGACCCGCATCATCCCCGACGTACCTCCAGCTGGCTGTCCGCAACGGACGAGGAGCTCAACAAGCTACTGGGCGGCGTCGAACCATCGCCCAGGGAGGAGTCCTGCCCAACATCCAGGCCGTGCTGCTGCCCAAGATAGACCGAGCAGACCACAAGGCCGCAAGAGCAAGTAATCCCCGCTCACAGGACGTTCCCTTCTATCCGCAACACACAACGGCTCTTCTCAGAGCCCCGTCAAACATAGCTCCATACAACAAAGGGCAGCCAGTGTAAGTCTCCCTCTACATCGGGTGTCATTTCTGCTTCTCCATAGGAAGACGTTTGGACGCCGGGAAGGACTTTCTATGTTGAACTTTCTAGGGGAGAAAGTGATCTCTCGGCGCCCGCCACCAGGGGATTGGGAGGGTTATTTTGTAGCTGATAACGGTTTTCACATATCCGAAATCTAAACGGTTAAAATTATTGAAAAGCATTTCATTGACTTGACCTAATCATAAATAAAATTTAAATCTCTTCCGGATCAGATCAATTTCGCTCCCACATTTTCCTTATTTGATTAAAAATCTGTCATGGCTTCAATTGTCTAAATACATTCCAATTTCCCGCCGGAAGTTCTATGGACCGTTACAGACGATCTGCGTCCCATTGAACCGTTTTATCCGGGGAAGAATCGATCAATCCTTCCATTCCAATGTTTTATTTGTACTCAAAAACCTCAGACACGATGTAGTAACTTGCCCTGCACTAGGAATAGAGATCTCCGAATACTTGTTTTATACTTCTCGTAAGAAATGCATTACCTGGCTGATGGAGACAACGCCCACAGCTGTGATTGTGCTCAGATTTCAAATTCTGCCGCCGGAATTGGTATCTCCTCGTTCCAGATCGAAACCATTCAGCCCGATTACGTACGCCAAATCCGAGCCGAGAGACTCAAAGGAGATCATCAGATGTGAGGATCATCCGAGAAATATCATCGCCTTTCATTCCAGGACAGTTTGTATTGATTAGTCAGGGATGTCTACAGGTGGATGTCGGGGATTACCAGAGTCATGTCAATCCTTGTTCTGTTATCCTCTGTCCCCAGGTATCCTCTATATCCAATGTGTTTTGCGGACTAATAATAACAATGACTAGAAAATGGATTTGTTGATTACTTTCATATATTGTCTTCTCTTGCGTTTTGAATCTCAGGATTCCCCTCCCCCGCAACATACTTAGAACTTGAGTGAACATCATACATGTCATAGATCTTACCTTTCTATATGATGAGAAATAAAGTATCGTTACGATTCTATCAGATCTGTATACGATCCTGTCCTTCCTTTTAAACAATTACAGATCCATACATCCCATCACTGGATATGAGCGGCAATTTCCTTCTCCCCCCAGGAGGGAGCAGAGATGAGAACCATGGAGATGATCAATCAATAGCCCTTTGTATGATGAAGGTGGGCGGCCCTGAGAAGGGCCTTTGTTTGTGACGATGAAGGGGGGGGGAGGGGTGTTTATGAGGATTTATATGCCTCCGAATCCGTAAGAGAGTGCGTTCCCTGCGTTTGAGAGCATAGACGACATCCATGGCGGTGACGGTCTTCCTCTTGGCGTGCTCGGTGTAGGGTGACGGCCATGCGCGGATGACGCATTTTCTCCAGGAAGACCTTTCAGCACTCCGCGGACGGTCTCCTCATATTGATGAGGCCGGAGATGCGCTTGACTCCCCCTCTGCGGGCCACATACGTCGGATTGGCGGGTTTGGTGATGCCCTGGATGTTGTCCCCCCCCGGAGCACCTTCCTGGTGGCGCTTGGCCTGCCGCCTTTCCCCAAGATCCCTTACTCCTCCTATTTACACCGCGACCAGACATTTGACGAGTCTTCTCTGCTTGCAAACACCGGACTGAGCTCATAGGGCTGGGCCCGCCTCTTCCTTTTCATACAGCCTGAGCCGGACCTGATGGGAACATTCCTGGGAAGAGGCGGAGTCACACCCATTCATTACACCACACAATACAAATTGGATTCATTTTGGGAAGCTTTCTCTACGTTCCGCCCTTTTCAGATCCCTTTAATGACAATAGAAATCCATCTCCAGGATCGAGAAATCTCTTCATTCTTCTCAAACTGGTTTTCTATTTCTTCCTCGGAGATTACACAGAAACATTCATGCTTTCATCACATTCAGAACACAAACCTATGCCATCATCACCAGTTAACTATTGTTGAGCAGCCAATTTAATTGAGAAATATGACTTAGAAATAAACAACAACGCAAACATTTATACCCGATGCCGCAGTTCCCTGGTTATAATTCAGGGCAGGAGGACGCCTGAAGGGGACTGATGGAAAGGAGGGGCGGGGGTCACAGCATTCATTCCTCTGCAGAGAATTTCATTGATTTAACAGGTCAGTCTCTGCAATTGTCAAACCGCACAGACACAGTGCGAGCACTATCACACCACGCACGTCGATTGGTGTCAGTGGGAGGAATAGTGCCCCCGTCATTGGTGGTAGTCTAGTGGGCAGGAATAGTGCCCCGTCATTGGTATCAGTGGGGAGATTAGTGCCTGTCATTGCTGTCAGTGGGAGGAATTAGTGCCCTGTCATTGCTGTCAGTGGGAGGAATAGTGCCCCGTCCGTCATTGCTGTCTGTGGGAGGAATAGTGACCCATCATTGGTGTCAGTGGGGGGAATAGTGCCCCATCATTGGTGTCAGTGGGAGAGTAATTGTGTCCCGTCAATGGTGTCAGTGGAAGGAATAGTGGCTCTCCCAATCGTTGCTGTCAGTGGCTGGAATTCTGAATATAGGAAGAAGATGAAGCTTACTCAGATGAAAGGAATGGAGTTTCCAGATGAAGGGGTGGATCTTAAACCAGGAAGGGGTGGGGGCAACTTTAGATGAGGGGGGGTGCCTGATTTTAGTCTTGCCGTAGGGCAGCACAAAATCTGCAAAATAATACACCACTGGATCACAGGTGCTCCGATCCACCCTCCATGGACACAGGTGTATTACTAATCAAGCCCCCTAGGGCATGCAGACTGCTTCTACAAACATTGGTGAAATAGAATGGGTCGCTTCTCAGGAGCTCAGTGACTCCAGCGTGGGTCCCGTGATAGGTGGCCACCTGGGCGATAAGTCCATCCGTGACATTTCCGTGGCTACTAAATAGTGCCACGAATCAGGCTGTCAGTGGCCGGGCTTTTTTTTCTATGAAGGGAATAGGTGCAGGAAAACTCCCACCTTCTGAAGTCCTTCTTGTCTCCACCCCTCTACTCATCTCCCAGTACTTCCCCTTTTCAGAGAATACAGATCCATGTATCATTATGGTGGTGTCAGGTCTTTGTATGGAATTGGTTAATGATAACAAGATAAAGCAGTAAGTTAGATCCCGCAGCCAGCAGCAGAAGCCCCCCGCCACCAGCAACAAACAAAACAGATTTCTCAGAGCAGCCGGAATCAAAAAATTCTCAAAGCAGCCGGGAAACATGTAGATCTCTCTGTGATCGGGCACGGCTGTGTCAGACCCCAGCCCTTCTCACCAAACTTGTGAGACGAAGAGAACGTGGACTATGCAACATCTAATTAACAGCAGCTGTTCACTTGCATAACAAGCCATCGCCCAAAACTGCACCCTGCACAAAGATTTTCCAGCTCACTGGACCGCAATCTATGTGCACACAGCCTGAGAGCGATTGTTACCGGGTCAGTGTTAAATTACGACAATTAAGATACCCTTCACACTGCCACCACCTCCTTTTTGTACAGAGAACAGAGGAAAACTCACCAATCTTGCAGTAACACTTTGTATGATGTTTGAAATAATACAAATCTGTATACCACTGTCACCGCAGGCAGATGTATGCAGAAGTTTAAAACACACAGTAGCGCTTTCAGAGACTAGGGATTCTTAGTTTGACATTAGCTTTAGAGTGTGTCACAAGTTCAAATAGAAAGCTTTAGAAACAGAGAAGTTCAAAAAAATTACTTTATTCAGAAAATTGGATTTATTACTAAAAAGGCTAAAATGGTGCAATAAAAAATATTTACAGAAGAATATGTAGCCATTATATATACAGAGACCCTACTGCTGCCAATAAATCACTGCAGAGAGATAACAGAATAGAAGTTTCAGGGAGGTAGAATACTTGCCAGTAGTCCTGGTCGCTAAGACAAATTCAAGGTCCAGAACAAAAAGGGGTTCTGTTTCTGTTTCCCCAAAGTTGTTCTTGATGTTTTAAAAGGAGAGACTCTATCTTTCATCTCAGGCCTGAGCATAGCCTGTTTTCTAGTCCCCCCAGCAGGGGTTGTCTGCTGAAGCCAAGGGCCAATCGCCTTGTTTGGGGGAGGGGGTTTATGGCGGAGGACCCCAGCTGTGACCAAATCTCTACCCAAGTATCTATCCATGGTGTAATAACCTTCCATAGGTACATGTTGCATTCCTATCCACTGTGGTAGGATAATATGCAGAATCATCTGCTGAACGTCCAGGACTACAGATATGATATATTTCTACCTGTGATGGTTAAGGAGATATCGCTTTCTGCTCTTGGGTAGACGTTATCTAGGGGGTGTAAGGGATCAGGTGACTCACATTAAACTGACCTATTGAAATATATGCTTTGTTTTATATTTATTATTATTATACAGTATTTTATAGCGCCAATGGGTATGCTCAGCGCTGTGTACAGTAGCAAGGGGGGACAGTGAACATGACAAAGTGACAGTAACAATACATTACACGAGGGGTTCGATGAGCCCTGCTCTTTCGAGCTTACAATCTAGGAGGGAGGGGAAGGTTGGCACAGGAGGAGATGGCTGTGGGGGATGGAGTGGTAGGAGGAGTGGAGGAGGGCTTAGTTGTTAGGTGTATGGGTCGGGTGTTTAGGTGAGGTTGGGGGTAGGCTTCCCTGAAGAGGAGCGATTTCAGGGTGCGCTTGAAGGTGCTGAGGTAGGAAAGGCGACAGTGTCTGATGGATTGGGGTAGGGAGTTCCAGAGGATGGAAAAGTCCCTGGAGAAGTCCTGCAATCGAGCGTGGGAGGAGGAGACCAGGGAACTAAAGAGTAGGAGGTCCTGTGAGGAGCGGCAAAATGAGAGCATGAGTAGGGTAGTATTTGGGTATCAGGTCAGTTATGTAGATTGGGGCGGCGTTGTGAATGCGCTTTGTAGGTCAGGGTTAAATGCAGTTTGAATTTGATGCGTTGGGCAATCGGGAGCCAAAATTGAAGGGATTGGCAGAGTCAGAGGGGAGGCAGATGTGGAGCGGTTGGTGAGGTGAATGAGTCTAGCCGCTGAGTTTTGGATCGACTAGAGTGGGGATAGCACTCGTTTTGGGTAGGCCAGTGAGAAGGGAATTGCAATAGTCCAGGCGTGAGATGATGTGGGAGTGTTTACAAAGTTGTATGGTGGTGTAATCTAACTGGGGTGAGGAGTCATGTGCGTATCTTGGAGATGTTGGGGGGAGTGGGGGGGAAGGGGGGAGGGGGGAGGTGGTGGGGGAGGGGTTGGGGGGGTGTCGTCAGCAATTAGGAGACGGAGAGCCAACGTCCTTGATGCCAAGGGAGTGCAGTTTGACAAGGAGGAGAGGGTGGTCAACAGTTCCCACGTGTTGGAAGGCCGCGGATGAGGTCGAGGAGCAGGAGGATAAAATAGTGGCCATTGGCTTTGGCGGGTTAGCAGGTCATTGGTGGTGATTTTTAAGTAGGGCGCCGGTTTCGGTGGAGTGCAGGGGACTGGACAGCCAGAATGTTAGGGGGTCACAAGGAGGTTGTTATCAGTGAGGTGGGCGCTTAGGCGATTGTAGGCCAGGCGCTCAAGGAGCTTGGAAGTGAAGGGCAACAAGGAGATGGGTCTAAGGTTTGTTAAGGTTACTGGGGTAAGGCGAGGGTTTTTTGAGTATGGGGGTGTGATGTGTGCTTGCATGCTTTAGAGGGGAGGGGAAGGTGCCAGTGGTGGAGAGGGAGAGATTGAAGATCGTGGGTGAGGGCGGAGTGAATGATGGAGGGGGGGTGACTGGAGGGAAGCTGTGAGGGGATAGGGTCCAGGGGGCAGGTGGATGAGGCGGGCTACAATTGAAGACCTTAGCGACCTCCTCGGGGTAGTAGTTGGGCTGAAGGACAGCAGCGTGTGATTGGGGATGGTGATGATGTGCGGGGCAGGCATACAAGGTATAGTGGGGGGTAGTGCGGCTGATGAGGTCGGGGGTGAGGGGACGAATTGAGTCGAGGGCGGAGAGGCTGGGTGGAGAGGTGGATTGTCAGTTGACAATGTCCTTACGGATTGCGTCAATCTTGTTTTGGAAGTGATTGGCAATCTCCGTGGGGCGGTGAGTGAAGTGCTGGGTGGGGCTGTGGGGGGGGGGGAGGGAGAGCCAGGAATTTGAAAGTGGAGAAGAGCCGACGAGGACAGGTGGAGAGGGTGTTGATAAGGGTTATGAAATAGCTTGCTTGGCGGCATGGAGGGAGGTGGTTTGTAGGTCGAGGTAGGCAGCTTTATAGAGGGAACACGCGCAAGGGGATTCTGGTTTTTGCGCCATAAGCGATCCAGCGTGCCACTGCGTCATTTGAGGCCATTTTGTGTGGTCATTTTGCCAGGGTTGACGTGGGCGGGGTCTAAATGCTAGTGTGGTGGTTAGGGGTGCACTGGGAGTCAAGGGCAGCTGACAGTGAGTCGTTTTATGCCCAGTAGTAATAAAATTAATATATAGTGCAGCGCTTGGTGTATTAATTAAAAAAGAACATGCTAAAATGAATACAAATAAATAGTTCATAAAGTCCTTTCACAATTAGAAGTGACAATAGGTGTATGAAGGTCTTCCTCCTTATAAAGGTGACTGGTATATCAGATAGAAAAAATGCGCACTCACCGGACCCGCACATTTTAAATGCGCTTTGTGC